TATAAAATTCGAAATGCCAATAACCTCGCTGAAAGATAGAAGATATTTAAACATCGAGCCAACATCGAGCAATTTGACGACCTCCGTGGCCGAGTGGTTTGTACGCCGGGTTTCATGGTGTCGCCGACTCGAGACGTCCCGGGTTCGAATGCCTTGTGGGCAGATGTTTGTTTGATGAATACGAGCATTTGTGTTCCAGTCATGGATGTTTAATATGTATATTCTATATAAATATACTACTTATATATTTCAGTTTATGTATTCTATCCGTTACCCTAGCATCCCATAACACAAGCCTTATAGTGCTTACTTTGGGGCTAGGCTAATTGGTGTGAGTGTTAGAAATATTTATTTAAACATAGAGCAGTTACATGCTTAAAATAAAAATTATACCTAGAAAGAAGATAGTTAAGTTCTTGAAAAGTTATTATTAATAGATGATGATCAGGACCCAGTAGTTTCCCACACTTTCACAGCTCAAATTTAATTAATCAAACAACCGAAACTTAAAGGACTCTTCACAGTCCTTTTACTAAAGAGTGCAGTGCGGCGGCCACATGTCTCTGAAGTGATCCATAAGAAGAGTCCCGTTTTTTGTCTTGTTGTAATTAGTTACAAATTATGACTCAAATACGTCTCCGCCGCCCCGCCAGCTGACTGAAGTCACGCGCGATCTAACGGAACGCCTGAAAAACGCTGACGCAGAGTATTAAAACATTTTCATATCCGTGAGCAGTATTTATATATTGTAATGTTAATGATTAGTTATCTATAAGAAAAATATATTTAAATTTCTCAATTTCAACATTTCGATTGCCGTAATAGCAACTAAGTGCAATGATAATTTATACATTGACAAATGCCGGACAACTCACAACAAAATTTTCTAATTCACGGTGAACCAACTAAAAGCCATATGTGATATTCATTATAATAGAATTTAAATAACATCTTCTGTAAGATAAAGAAACATTACCAAATCGGTTCTGGCGTGATTTCCTCAACTGAAAACTAAATTTAAGATCAGTCTCTCCTTTTCCTTCTGTATAGAGAATCACAAGAATACACTGTGGTCAAATTTAAGTTTAGGTTTAAAGAATCATGCCAGTATCGACATCATTGCTTAACTAAACAAACCAAAATATAATTTAATATGTTAGTAGTTGCATTCTCTTGAAGTTCTTTTAAACTTAAAGAGTGATTCATAAAAAATACTCATATTAACCATAGTTTCACAGTTGCAATTAATTTGTATTCGTTGAGATGCTTAGGTCAAGGTGGTTACAATATTAATATGAACAACCGTTTTTATAAAGAGCGACGCGAGGTGTATAAAAGAGTTGTCTGTAAATACTACCTAATACAAAATAGCCCTATTGAAAACCTTTAGTTAATCGAAATTATAGTTTCTTTTTTCGGTGACACACGTCTTCTCTGAACATTTTTAATACTACGTCACGTTCCGTTGCACGCCGCGCGGCGCTTCAAGTGGTCCGAATCGTTCATCCCACTCCTGCCTAATTAGCTTCCGTAAGCTGTAAATCTAACCTATACTGCCGCCGTCAACGCGCGCGCTTTGATCACGCGCCCCGTGAAACGGAACGGTATTCGAACGAACGAATGAGTGAATGAGCGGTTTTTGAACGCGGCGTTTAATGTGAAATGTGGCGGTAACCGATGATTTTCCTGTCTGTATCCAGTTCCGCTGTGTTTGTTAAGTCACTTATTTTCATTCCAATTTTAAGAAACTAACAACTCGTGAGCAAATCCTGATAATGGCCGGTTTTTTTTAAAGTGGCTAGTCAATGTTTTTTAAAATATACACAATTTTATGAATTATGAAGTAAAATTAAATGATATTTACCTAACAGTATTTCAATAACAAAAAACAAATAAGTACAATAGGTTCCCTTACGTATCCACTACGTAAAGTTAAAGGCTACGCAGTGCAGTTTCAGAAACGGACTTTAAGTAATAAGTCGCGCTCAAATTGTTTCCAATTACATATAATGTTTGGCTATCAGCAAAGTCCAACCAAATGTATTGTCAATAATATATAACTTATCACAATAAAAAAATATTTATCACGTTCCTAAACATTTAGCCCGTGCATCCACAGCGTTTTGCTACTAGGCCAAGTAAACGTGCCGCTCGTTTGCATGAAATGAATGAATGAAAAGAGCATTTTACAATTTCGTACAGTTTGAATTAGCATTACAGTAAAATTACTTTAAGAAAAGCCTGTAAGTGGACCATTTGGCCTTTTATTATTTCAAATTATTCGTAAAACCTATCAAGTTTCATCCAATAATAATAATAAGAAAGATCATAGCGGATTTCTTCGCTGAAAATTGGACCATGATTTAATAATGGTTGAAATTTGTTTTAATAAAACCTTTTGGTATTGTTGCTTTCTGTTGATGGTTAAGTCTCCAGTACAGTACAGTTAAGCGAATTCCAAGCTGTTGCTTGTTTACTTTACCAGTAATGGTGTTTATTGATGATCGGTTTTCCGCCGTCTATGGGCTCGGTTTATACCCGAGTCGGAGTCGGCTAAGCTTGTTCACGAGCACGGTTTGTTCGTTTGTACTGACCCCAAACCGTCGCTAGCGCCGGTTTCGTTAACAAACCTCCATAGTGTCCCATACATATCTGACGGCCGAACGTAGACACGCTTTAAACCGTAACTTGACCCGGATAGAAACCGGGTAGAAATCGTCTCGTTAACATCCGTTCTAAGGATGGCTGGAAGGGCACGGCCGACTTTTCTGTCGTATTAACTTAGGTATCTGCGGGGCTAGAATTCACTTACACTTAACATCAGTTAAGGTGATATAAATTTCTGAACTTAAACAACTAAAAATAATAACTGAAAATAGAATTTGCCAAGAAGTACCAAGCCCAAGGAATAATGCAGAATCGAAAACTATATGTTGACGTTTCGCTCCGGGTAGCCAGTACAAGCTTAACATTTTTCACTATTCATAAGAAATCTCAATCCAATAAACAACACTATGGGTTTTTTAATCGATGCATGAACAAACATTTTACTATCCTCAATCGGTAGGTGTACACGATAGGCGTTGCGCACCTAATCGCTCTATCATATCAATCAGCCGCCCAGAAACAATCAATTAGAGGCGATCCCATTTCAATCACCCCCCGTATCTGGACGTAATTGCCTCGCCGCTCCTCCCCGTGCGGCTCTATTATGTACCGTTAGGGACAAATGTCCTTCGTGATCGTGAAAGAAATCAATTGCCATTTAAGTAGAATTAAAATTAGTAACGTTTACGAAAAAAACATTTTTCGTTTATTAGTGTCATCCATCACGAAAAGTCATAAAGAACTTTATAATTCAAGTTATTTTTATAAATAACAATCTCAGTTTAGATTGATACTTGGTTGGAGGATATCATGGTCTCTTAAAAACTCTTCGTAAGTTCCCTAAAATATAGTTGAGAAAACCGATTCATACGTCATGCTCGTTAATGTGTTTGCAATTTTACTGAAGATACCTACTTACCCTTGAATTTTAGTGTAATTTTTCATGCTGACGACTCTGAAATAAGAAATAAAACAGCCCTTAGCGAGTTACTTTTCAATCGATGCCAGCTTTTGAGCCGTTTTAACTTACGTACCATAAACGAGTCTTTCATTTCATTTAAAAAGGTGTTGATAATATCTTGTTAAGGGACGTCAGCAAACCCAAAGGTGGGAAGAAATCGTACACTAGCTATTACAAAAAGATATTTTGTAAAAAAACTAAAGAACAATTTAGGTAAGATACATATTTAAAAGTCGAACTCGAGTATTAAGGCTTAAACCAGCCACACTACAAAGTACCTCGCTTTGTGCTAAGAACCAAACCAAAACAAATAGCATTAATTCAATATTCCCATGAGCACACGTAACCGCCGCTGGCCGTCGTCACATCTCGACACCTGAGTCGTTGACAGCCCTGATGAATGGCCATCCTATTTTCGGTGGACATGACTGCTGTCAAACTCATCACCATACGACTCTGACCTCACCGGCTCTGACATTAGAGGTCGGAATGGCTCGGTGTCCTCTCATGCTTTGTTCGTTCGTTAGGGCTTCACGCCCTTGGCAGGTCATTATATTCAGATTACGTACGGGGATATTGGCGAATGGCGACAGCAGTGTATTGTTCCGGTGTCTAACCCGAAGTCAAGCTGATTCTGTTTACGGGTACCTTGATTTTGTAATAGGTTAGTGCTTCTGTATTTACCTGATTTTCGGATATGTATTAATTTAAATTGAACCTTTACTTCGGTTGGATATGGCCATGCAGAGAATACTACCGGAATCGAAGTCATGTCCGATTATAGATGGGTAAAGGTATAATCCAGTTAGATAGCCGGTTGACATTGTCTGGAAAAGGACATGTTCATATTACAAGTGGTTTGTTTAAAAATGGTGTCATGGGACAATGCATTTTTAAAGAAAAGAAAAGTTGACCCCATAGTACCAAACCCGGAAGCTCGTTTATGGATTTTCCTATATTATCATAATTATGTAAACAATTTACTACAAGGCTTTTTCGCTTTTTTGAAGCTATTAAGTATTTCAATTGAATTCAAATGCAGGACCCTCAATAAGTGAAAACAACCAAAGCTGAAACTCAAAACATGCAACTAAGTGCATTTTCGTTTTCACCCTTGAACCAAAATGGGGACTTAATTTGCTTACGATATGAAGTGGTTTGGAACCATTTGATTAAACTTTATTCAAACTTATAGCAGCCTCGACTACGGGCAGAACATTATTAACACGTTGGAAATGTGTATAAAAATGGTAGATACGCGACAAATTGTAAAATATATTAAGAAAATAATATGTAAAGCAGGGATTGAAATCCATTTCATGTCTGAAAAGCTCTTCACTTAAAGTGAACTCAAAGGTATATTTCCGAACATTACAAACTCTTTCGGCGTGTAAGTAAAAAAAAAGTAAAAGTGGAACAAACGAAAATAAAACCTCGCCAAATTTGACATTCACTGTCAATCAGTCAAGTTTTTTGGATGTTTAGTGCTAAGTTGCGGCAATGTCTTTGCTTTGTGTTGTGGTATAATGGTGTGTACCGAGTGGTACAATGAACGTTACCGCCGCTGCGGCCCTGGGAGTGGTGTTAGTGCTTCTGCTATTGGTGTTTAGGTGGAAATGGAGGTCTACCAAGGTTGGTTTGTGTCATGTTTGAAAATCTCTAATTGGTTTTTTGATTTGGTTTGATAGGACGACACGGACCTGAAAAAAAGACGGACGTAATATCAAAGGCAAATCATGTGAAGCATGCAAGGTCGGACATAATCGTGTGTTGTACACTACCTACACTCACACTAAAGCACCAGGTCGGACAATTCGCTGCCATTTGACCCCGCGTGACAGCGCCAGTCACACGTTCAATTGCTCCGATATTTTTTTTAAAAATGCCGTCTTGTGTGGTGAAAAACTACACGAGTAAATTTGAAAAGTCACAAGGAATCACCTACCATGCATAAGTATTGACGATTCTTGATAATTTTTCTGTATTATATTTTATTTACAAGGATGAAAATTGTAAACAAAAATACAACTGTGTGGCTAGGTACTTTATTTACGGGAAATTTTCCCTAAAAGTAGGGAATTTTGTATTTCTTGCATTTGTGACTAGGCAAGATCAGATTTTTAACTTTTTAGGGTTCCATATCCTAAAAAATTCAAAAAAAAATTCAAAATTCAATATCGTTTATTCAGTCTAGGCTGTTACAAGCACTTGTGAATGTCGAAAAGCTACGCCATCGGTTCGCAAAACTACGGCGGGAGACCTTGTACTGAGAAGAACCGGCAAGAAACTCAGCAAGGGCTGCTTTTTTCTCCCTGTTTTATTTCATACAGTGTCGTCCAATTGAAAGTTGACATCAAACTTGCAAACATGTGTTGAGGTCAACTTCCATCACATAATGTCAAATATGTAACAATCAATGAATTTACTAACAATAACTGCAAAGATAAGTCCCAAAATAGCAAGAAACAATTTTCAAAATAAAATGAACAAGTATATGAAAGGGAGTAAGTGCAAGGTTCTCTTCAAAACTCTTTCTATAACTGGGAGCCTTAGTTTTAATATAACTTTTGAAAAATTATCTACAAGTAAAATTACAACCAGGCCGTTTTATCATTCAAATATTGATTGACAGTATAATATCCTTTCATAAGTAAACAATTCTTAATGTGTATTTTAAATTTATGAGGAGGCAAATCAAGGATATCAATAGGAATCTTATTATAGAAATGTATACCTTGACCCATAAATGATTTATGAACCTTCTGTAACCTGTAATTTGGTATCTTGAGTTTATTTTTATTCCTTGTATTAAAAGAATGTATGTCACTGTGTTTTAGATAATAGTTAATATTGCTTCGAACAAAAAGTATGCAATTATAAATGAATTGAGAAGCAACAGTCAAAATCCCGATTTCTTTAAATTTTTCTCTAAGAGATGTTCTAGAACTAAGTTGATAAATAGCCCTTATAGCTCTTTTTTGCAAGATAAATATAGTTTCAATATCGGCTGCTGATCCCCAGAGAATAATACCATAGGATACAATACTATGAAAGTAACTAAAGTATACAGTTCTAGCAGTAGCTACATCAGTAAGTTGTCTTATTTTACGTATGGCATAGGCTGCTGAACTAAGTTTACCAGCTAGCAGAGAAATATGAGGATACCATTGCAATTTCGAGTCTATGGTTATACCTAAGAATATCGTTGACTCAACTAAATCTAGGTTTTCATTGTTTAGTTTAATTCTAATGGTTTCGCTTCTAACATTAGGTAAAGTGAATTTAATGCATTTGGTTTTATTTGCATTTAATTTTAAGTTATTTACATTAAACCAGTGCAATACTTGTGAGAGAGCATTATTTACATCGTCAAAGTTATTCTTGTATCGGTCAACCTTAAATAATAAAGAAGTATCATCAGCAAACAATACGATCTCACACAATTTTTCCACAAAAAATGGCAAATCGTTTATGTACAATAAAAATAGAAACGGACCTAAAATCGATCCCTGGGGAACGCCCATTTTCACATAAGATCCAGATGACTTAACACCATTTACCTCTACAGTTTGAACTCTGGAACTGAGATACGATAGTAGCAAATTTTGGGCTGCGCCTTTGATTCCATAGTGATTTAATTTTAACATCAGCGTCTGGTGCTCAACGCAGTCAAACGCCTTGGATAAGTCACAGAATACCCCAAGAACATTCTGCGACTTCTCCCAGGCTTCCATTATGTCTTATAAGTGCAACACCCGCATCCGTTGTTGATCTACCCCTAGTAAAGCCAAATTGATTATTATGTAACAGTTTGTTCAAACTGACATGCGATAATAATTGATCTAAAATAATTTTTTCGAAAATTTTACTTAATACCGGTAATATTGATATAGGTCTGTAATTACCGGGATCATCTCTTATGCCGTTTTTGAAGAGAGGGATAACTTTACTATATTTCATAAGGTCTGGAAAATCACCTTGATCAATACACTTATTGAATATATCTGCAAGATAAGGAGCGATAACTGTTATTATACTTTTAGTAATTTTAATAGACATTCCAAACAAATCACACGTATTTTTCTTTTTAAGTGAGTTAAAGCATTTTATAATATCCATAAAATCAACATGTTTAAACGTAAACAGGTTATTACACCGAGGCACACACGTCTCTAGCAAACTCTTAGCACCCGCTGGCGTCGAATTCAAATTAGAAGTAGTGATTAATGGTATATTAACAAAATATTCATTAAAAGTATTAGCAATCTGTTCTTTTGTTTTAATTTGAATATTATCTACTTTAAGTGCGATCCCATCATCGAGGGTTCTTTCTTTACCAGTTTCTCTATTAATAACATTCCATGTCGTTTTAATTTTATTATTAGATTTTATGATTTTATTTTTTATGTAATTGGATTTGGCTGTTGCACATACACTTTTGAATGTTTTTGAGTACCTTTTAACATAATCAATGAAACCCTGAGAGTGATTGTACTTCCTTAAGTAGTACAAATCATAAAGTTTATTTCTGCTCTTATAAATACCAGACGTAGCCCAGTCACAGAAGTTCAACTTTTGAGTTAATTTCAAAGTTTTAAGCGGAAAAGCCTTATCGAATTCTTTCTTAACCAAAGTGAACATATTGCCGTAAAGAATATTAGGATCCTCATGTGTCCATGGCATTAGAAACATTTTATCATCAATATTGTTTTGAAAATTTTCTAAACGTTTATTTGTTACTGGTCTTAATTCAATGAATTTGGGCTTAGTAGTGTCATTTGTATTATATGTTATTTTTAAGCCGTAATGATCTGATGTGATACAATTAATAATTGATTTACTAACTGGATTATAATCAGTAAATATATTATCCAAACAAGTAGCTGAATGAGATGTTACTCTAGTAGGCTCAAAAAATTGATGTACCAAATTAAAACATTTGAATAGTGATGTTAGGCGAATTGACATTGAATTATTTTCAAGAATGTTAATATTGAAGTCACCAACTACAATCAAAAACTTATTTTTAGACTTTAACTTTTTTAGAACATTCTCCATCACTGATTCAAAAACACTAATGAACTAAAAGGAAAAGAATATAAGCCATATTATTCATACAATATTTTATATAAATTATTGTCTTGCCTCCTTTCTAATAGGTTTCCTAGAAATAGAAACCGTAGAGATGACTGGGTTTTAATTATTCGATACTGCAAAGGGGATAACAATTGAAATCCATCACCTTCCAGTACTGTGTGTAGTGCACACGTTGTTTGGTTTTTGTTCAAACCGGAGCCTGTAAAGAATCCGAAACGGCGGAAAATGTATAAAAATATTAAAAACTAGCGGCCCGCCCTCGCTTCGCTTCGGTGTAGAGCTAAAGTGTTGTATTATACACAATGACATTCATCTATGATTCTTCTTATACCTGCATGCAAAGTCTCAGCCCGATCGGTTTAAAATTGACAAAGTTTCATACAAACTTTCATTCCCTATTTTATCCCCTTGGAGGTAGAATTGATCAAAATCCTTTCTTAGCGGATGCCTACGTCATAACATCTACCTGCATGCCAAATTTCAGCCTGATCCGTCCAGTGATTTGGGCTGTGCGTTGATAAATCACTATGTCAGTCAGTCAGTCACCTTTTAGTTTTATATATATAGATAGGGTACGGCCACAGTGCACGCAGGTTCAGAATCAGATTCAGACTCAGAAAACAAGTGCGAGAAATAAACAGTGTAGTTTAAGCAGGGTGGCCATAGTGGCAGCAGGCAACCTGTTTAAACTATACTATAGGATTGGCATGATATCTCTTTTCCTCACTCTGTCAGTCTTTAAATACCTACTCAATCTATGAACATTTCGTTCATACAACTTTACATATAAAAGAAGAAATAGCAATATTAGTCTATTATATTTTTATTTTAAGCATTAATCTGCGCGATTTATGTATATTAATGTATGTTATTAACCTCATACTTAATATTAAGACACTAACATTTATATGTAAACAATAAAGTTCTTTATACATAACAAGTGCTTTCTTTTCTATCTCGGTGTTCTTAAAATTAATTTGATAGACCTACCTCATGTTTTCATAACACCAATCCAAATATACATTTTTACCGGGTAAAGCTTTAGCTACGCGTATAGCGTCTGGGAAAGTAACCTATAAGCCTCCTAAATATAGTACGTACGTAAAGTATTTTACAATGTTATGCTGATTAGAAATTTTGATGAGCGAGTTAGCGCTGTGCTTTGCAGTTTCAGTCTATGATGTTAAATTAAAGCAACTTTAGTAAGCCCGATTAATCAGATGGGTGGCAAAAAATATTATCTCCTGTTCCTTATTCCGATTTCGTATTGGTGATTCCAACTTATATTTTTCTCTTTCTGATTCTATCAATCAGGATTATCTGTGCCGCAGCAAACGACGGAATAGAAGTATGACGAAATATCGCATCCGATATTATCGACCGATAATAAGGCACCTATGGGCTTAATGATAGTTTAGATTCTGATTTTTTCGTATTAAAAGAATGTCAAACGCCTACAACAACAGTTATATATATCAAAATTATCTATCGCGCCGTTACCTACCCTATCCCCTACATCATACCCATGGCCCACCAAAAAGCTTTTTGAAAGGTGAAGGCTACTTTCCCAGATGTGCGCTCCAATTCAAATGGGAATTCTGTTATGACTTACGTAACCGCTGCTGGCCGTGGTCACATCTCAACACCCGAGTCGTTGACAGTCCTGATGAATGGCCATCCCATTGTCGGTGGATATGACTGCAGTCAAACTCATCACTATTCGACTCTGACCTCACGGCTCTCGTGCTTTGTTAGTTCCTTAAGGCTTCACGCCCTTTTCAGGACATTATGTTCAAAATACGTACGGGGATATTGGCAAAGGGCGACAACAGTGTACCTTCTTAGATAACGGTATATGTTGACGGTAGGTGGAAACGGAGTGTCCCCCATGTTCGCCGGCGGTGACGCTGGTGCACCGGCTGTGCCCCCACCACAACGTGGTGCAGAGCTTCGAGGTGGAGGAGAAGGACAGCCTCGACGAGCACCTCGACGTGCTCACCAGGAAACTCGCTGAGAAGGTTGGTAAATTTAGAAAACGCTGTTAGAATTTTCAGTTATGGTTATTGATATGTACCTACGTAGTTTGCAATAAAATTCCTTATTACCTTTTTATGTTCACATTGCTGTGGACTGGTAAAGACATATCTTTACTACAGTTTACACTTATATGCAAGCCCACTGCTGATTTGTGGGTGCTAACGACTGCAAATGTAACCATGACCAACTACTTTTAAAGTTCCTTCCGAAGCACGGAGGAGAATTTCCACCTATCCATTCATTACGAAAGTTGATTAACTTGCCCATCGCAAACCGAACACGCTAACGCACTGCACCATCGTGCTCCTCCAATAAGATATTGACGTATCTCATGAGTTTCCCCTTTATCCCACACCCCTAATCTCTTTATAATTAAGTCCTTGTTTGAGGATTCCTTATAATATGAGAAACCACATGGCAGAACACCTCCGGTACCTCTTTAGGGAAGCGGTTAGATAAAAATGGCTAAGGAAGTAGCAGCGAATAACCGTGATATGTAAGTGAAAAAGGAATGACGCTAGTTCTGCAATCGGATCGGTGTGGTCACTGCAGTGTTAGTTGCCTGCTCAGCGCTGGCAAAGTGCCCTGTTCATTGACATCGTTTCAGGGGAAATCATAAAATATATACTGACTTCTTGCATTCTTTAGTGAAGTAATCTGTATGCTATTCTTAAAGTTGGGAGACTGTCGCAAAGGCAAAAGAAATATTATTATCTTCATCCTTTAAAGTGAAATAGGCGTTAAGGCGTTGGTTCCAACTGAGATTTCAATAGTGATCTCATATAGCAGCCTACATGATGTTACCCATCGTGATATGTTAGCTCGGTCTCCCAGTGTGATTTTGTAGATAGGAAAAGGCTATGTTCCAGCAGCAAGGGTACTATTAGCCTGATCATCTTCCAACAGGAAGGCCGTCTGCGGCTCTCCAAGTCCAAAATCCGGGAAACACAGCACGAGATAGAGAGCTTGCACGCGATCGACCACGACGTGCGCACCAAGTACCGGGAGATCATGGAGTCACTGCGGACTGACCTGCTCACCAACGAGAAGGAGTGCAAGCGGCTGCAGGAACAAATCGAGTGGGTGTCTCGAAGGCGCGCTGAAATACGGGATGAGGTAAAGATACTTTACCGTTACTAGTTAATCCAGTCACTGTGGAATGACTTGTTCACCAACAAGACCTGTCTACCTAAGTTACGGGTAGAGAAGTACAGGAGAGGTAGGGAAATAGCATATTTTCTGCTCGAATTGAAGCACCCGTCTAGGGAAGTAACCTACTTATTATAAAATGATTGGTTGAGTTCACCATCTCGACATTTGGTCGGTTTTAATAAATACCCCGTCCTGTAACCCACAAGAAAAGAGGTGTCTATGTCCTCAATATGTCGTTCTTTTATCTATTATTATGTAGTTTAGTTTGATGTATTATATATATAATACACCGTAATATATATATGATTAATTATGAGAAGCACCTAACTAGTGTGCATCTGTAGTATATTGTGTGCGAGTTGCTACTGTTCTCCTTCCTCGCCCTCTTCCTCTTATCCGTTGTGTGTTTGATGGCTGTGGTGTGTCCGGTGCATGAGATGTGTTGGGCGTGATTGATAGGTGTGTTTGGTGATAGTGTTTGTTGCGTGATTTGTATATTTTGTATGTGTTGGTCTCGTGTGTTGTGTAAAAAAACATTATTATTATTTTTACCTTACAGAAAACCACAGTATAATAACACTTCCTTTTGATGGTGTAGCGTTTCTACCGGTGAGTAAGATTCCACGGCTATAGGGGATTGGGTCAGGGTAGGCTACGGTGCGAGTGATATTTTTTGGATCGCAATTGTGGTGGCCGCTTACCATAAAGGTTTCTACCCACTACACAGTATGTTCATGACCGTGCTATGAACGTGTCAGGCAAAAAAATATTCTTTGTTTTAAAAAGTATGAGACAATGCCCGCTAGCCCGTTCCGTCACCGACCAGCACCGTCGCGTGCCATGCACGGAGCGGCTACTATTGTCGGCGAGAATATTTTGCCGGTGCCGATACGCTCCGCGCATGGCACGCGACGTTGCAAAACCGATGCGCGCAGGCAACAAAACGGTGACAACACGGGTTAGAACAGCGTATGATGACCGTTATATAGGCGTCTTAAACGCCGGAAGTACTGAAAGAACTTTTCTACATCTTCAACTAAATGCTTATACAACGTCCAAAATTCTCCTTCAGTTTTTCGTTCTTTTATAGAATCGTGAATCCAGTAGCGTCGAGTGGTTTTTTTGATTCTGTTCTTCTACCTCATCCAATATTATGGCAATCATTGCCAGTTGTCTAACAGTTAATGTTAATAGCCATACCTATTGTATTTAAAACTTGATAGCCAGTGGCGGCGCTAGACCACATGTGGACGTCGGCGACATCAAGTTCGCGAGGCCTATTTTACTTCGCAGTTACAAACCGTTAAATTAAGTGAGCCAAATTATAAAATAACGTATGAGTAAACAAGTTTTATTGTTGATAATCAAATCATGACAAAAAATAATTACAAACATAGATATAAAATAGTGTTGCCTGACAGACGATTCTGAATACCCGTAAAGTACTACTCGCTTTCATCACGCACGTGTTCGAAAATAATAAGTCATTATTATTATCATCTGCTTAGCTTTTTCCCCGAATTCTTCGGGGTCGGCTACCTAAGCCAGGCCAGGAGAAAAGAAAATAAATAGGTAACTTGTAAAAAATTTTTGCGAGGCCCCCTCAGGCGCGAGGCCGTCGGCGGTGGCCGACGTCGCCGACTCCTAGCGCCGCCACTGTTGATAGCACTCCACAGACGTCCATTCATTACCGATACACATGTAAGAATGAAACAGCTTCTTATCGATTTTGGTGAAGACGTCATACAAATTACGCAAAGGCAACATACGGGTTGCGTACGGGTTGCATACGGGCATCATACGGGGTGCACACCGGCAACATGCGGGCATTATACGCCGTCGATCCGATCCGTATAGCAAGCCGTTTCGTGTCAGTTTCCGTGTTTGATACAGTCCTAGCACGTTCATGGTATGAAACGGTGTAGTCGGCAGAGACCTTAATGCGTGATTGCCACCCTTTCAACATAAAAAAGAAAGGTAATGAAGAGATATCCTCAATTTCAGGCCGTCCTAAACCCTATTCCTAAGCCTGTGAAACCTTGAAAACTTTTTCACCCAGAGAAACGGAACACTACCAATAGAAGTTAAATATCATATCTGGCCTTTTAAAAGGAAGAAAGATTGCATACGGTAAATTCGCTATAACCTACCTCTCTTTGAATAAAAGATGAGGTAAGATCTTCATACAAACGAACGGTAAGGTTTTAAAAGGATAAGGATCCAGTGGACAAACAGCAAAGACTGCAGCCAAATACCATAATTATAAATCACGGAGTAACTGAAGTGATCATGGCGCTTGCAACAGTGCCGAAATATTGGTGACTCATAAAAAACAAAATACATACACATACACATAATGGTAACAATCCCGTTAATAGCTATAATAGTTCTACAGTTGGCAGTCTGTACGTAGTATCCAAGTAGTCTGTGGCTCAACCTCGCGTAACTTCGCGAGTAGTGTAATGGAGATGTTAGACAGTATATTTGAATAACGAAATGACATATTGTATATGTCTTATATGAAAAAACATAAAAAATACAACAATAACAACTAATGAAGGGAGAAAAATGTTATGAACCCATGTACTTTATTTATTTGTAATATTGAAAGGTACTATAATTAACACATATCTTATGTGTCCTAAAAACTGCAGAATCAAAAACATAAAAAGTAAGTATCTTACTTAATCCTAGAGTCCTGTATTTTTTATGCCAAAAAAAATAACCATGTTTGTTTAAGTTTACTTTTGATAATGAGAAAAATACTTAAAAAATTGGAGCTTTTAAATAATTATCTTTTATAATTTTTATTTTTTTAAGCATGTAACTGCTTGATTTTTAAATCTAAAGAAAACATAACTAGAAAAAATTCCGCCTGGTCCGCGTGGAATATTTTCTAGTTATATTTTCTTTACATTTAATTATCTTTTGTACTAAATCGACTAAAGTTAATAAAAAAATATCTATAGATTTTCCGGTTTTAAAATAGACGTTTTGTTTGTATCACAATATTTTATGGAAAGTCATCGTTCATCAAGTAGGTAATTATTTGAAAAAAACATAACATTTGTTCTTAATTAGTTTATTCACCATTTTTAAAACATAACAAATCAATAAAGTTATGTTATTATGTAACTGTCGCATCAATTGGACCGATAGTATATGGCCAACTACACTATGCTACAATTTAACCTACCATGTATTTAAAAACAAAACAGCTGATAGCTAAAAATCCTTAAATTATAACTCTGCGAAAACAATTTAGAAACTGTTTAGATTGGCATTCAAATACTATCGATATTTCAATAGAACTTACGAAATAGCACGAAAATTTAGATCAAAGAATAATGCCTACTCTCCATACATTTGAAAACCTGATAATGAAAGTTAATGTATAAATATAAAGTATACTGGTAAAATTACGTATAAATTAAGAAAATAATATCCTATAATCAGTTTTACGATTTAAACGCAGGAAGATTAAAAAAATATGAATAATTTTTTTAGATTATATTAATTTTTTTGTTCTGACAACACTGAAGGGTCAGATGTTTTTTTGCATTATATGCAATTTATTTTGTTAATTTATTCATGACAAATTACATAAAAAGATCAACAAATTACATAAAAAGATATTTCGATCAAGTTAAATGACAAAATGCAGAGCAGTTATTTGTGAATTGATTACTTTATAGTTACAAGTAAATTGGACAGACAGAGTGTTCTTACCTGCCAAACGGATATGAATAACCAAACAACAATTGTGAAGAATAATTTGTCCCAAGAGTGAAAGAAGCAATTTATTTTGAGCAACATCAAGTGAATTGTATGAATAGCACAGACTCCTACATTACTACTAAATTACTACAAAATACCAAAGCATTCTAATGGACAAGAAATCTGCAAAATTTGGTCACTAGGGGCGCTGTAATCGCTTGACCCAAAACTTCTATCAATTACATATCTATTAGCTTATATTCATTTTTAAGCTTTTTAGTAAACAAATTACAATTAATGCCGCATTGTCCAGTTCTTGGTTGTTGTAAGAAAAGTGCATGCTTACCGACTAAAATATAATTTTAAATGTTTCTTTGAAAGGGGCGGTAAAACTGAGCTGCTGTTTACATCATGGTATGTATCTGGAGCAGGTAATTGTATCTGGCTGGATGTCTTCAATTTGATCAGAAAAAACTGCACTAAAATTAAAATTGCGATCTTATGCCTCAAGACTGTAAAAAAACCCAATGTTATACTTCCCAATTTAGCCCAAAGTAACCTAACTCTATGAGATGTCTGACTGATGCAAAAAAAAGATAGATTTGACTAATGAGCCCGCTAAAAGTTACTGAGATCCACGAATTATTAAAATAATCATAGAAAATGCATCTATGTACCGAGAATGAGCATTCTAGCATAATAATAGAAAGAATACCTTTCTACTAGATCAGCTTTTCTGCCTTGTATAGATACTCCTCTCCTTTTCAACTCTGTTTTCAGCTATATTACTGACCATGTTGAATACAATTTCACTACTTATTTTATATATTTAACAATAAAAAAAACACGTTCAAAATTTGACAGCTGCAATATTCGGCTGTGGTTTCGGTCAAGCGTTTGCAGCGCCATCTATGTCGAGCTTTGCGTATACTTCTCCATTATCAAACTTTGTGCAGGACGGGTTGTCAAACACCTGTCATATGTCAAAGAAATCCGTTTTACAAATCGTTCAATTGTACTGCACGGCGAATCGTGAAATGATAATAATATTAATTTAATATATTCTGTAGTAAGAGTTTAATATAGAAAAACATACAAATAAAATAAAGTGTAAAAGTATTTGAAACCCATAAAAAACAGGGTTGAACAAAATATATTCTTAACAAATGGCGAAGTGGCAGTGTGTAAAATGGAAGGTAGCAAACACTGAACAGTTGAAGTGCGTTCGGAAATTGTAATTTACACGTATCATAAACATGCGTCTGCGTTTCTTATACCACATTGATTATTGTAATAAACTTAATATTAAATTAGCTTTATTTTGACGTATATGTCATCTCTATACATGATCAGGTCAAAAATGGGAATTGTTCTTTCACCAAATCTTTTTTTTTCACTATCCCTCGACGTTCTCAACCGATGCCACTACAAAAAAGCCTGGAATTTATGGCGACACTAAAACATAGTTTAGTGTTCCAGAGTCAGAAAAACATGTTTGCTCGTGGGGGTAATGCAAGGATGGTACGAATAAAACGCTGGTTCACCAACTCTCCCCTATTTAAAACCATGGATGTTCGTACAACTCATTTAGTATTTCTTCATTAGGTACGCCGAGGTCAAAAGCTATACGGGGAGGCGGCTGCAGAGTTGGCCAGTAATCTAGCGGAGTTGCAACGAGGTCGCATGGCGGAGCATAGAGTCACGGACAAACCGCAGAGACAGCACTCCCTGACCTCCCTGAGGCACCGCAAAGAGCCCCAACTCCCCAGGGCCTCGCCCGTTCGATCCATAGTAATCAAATCACCGCCCGGATCGCCAGAAGCGAACGCGTCCAATATTGACACGCATGCATACTAAACCTACACATGACTTATGGCAGCCTCGTATACTTTTCGAACGTCTAATTTATTTTTGCTTGTTTTGTTTTGTCTTTTTTTAATATTTGTGTACCTATTATATATATTTTGAAGTATCGATATTTTTATTAAAAAAAAATGTCTAGGTTAACTATCTTCCGTAAACGTGTAACTCATAATTCAAAATATCTCACACATGAGACAAAACCACTGCAGCGCGCGTCCCCTTTATAACTCTCGTTAATTCGGAGGGTTAAAATCCCCGAAAAAGTGAGCACTTGCCTTGTTTACAAGGTTTTAGATTTTAATTTAGATTGGGGTAGAGCTCGATGCACACGCGTAATGACGTAAACGCCGCGCGGTGTGGCGGGAAAATTGGGTCCTTTTACGTGGGCACTGAGTCGGTACAGTGCTTAACGAGGGGAGCTCTAGGAGTATCCATTAAAATCGCATTCGTATGTGATCACCTAATACAATATCATCAAGTCCGCACAGGGGGCGCTTTGTGAATAATTTCGCGGCAATCTGCTCGCATTCGATTCGGATTTGTATAATATTATAATTTCATAAAATTATTGGTCGCTTTAGCGGAATGGGGCCAATTGCCTTGTAAGTGTTTCCGCTTTGATGGAGAGATGTGCCTAAGACTTTTGGCAGCGGTTGTAGACCAAAACCTACAAAGTCTTGAAATCGTTATAGAATAGCATAATATTTATCGGTGTTCTACAGTATGTAATTCGTATAGTAAGTTTGCTTCAAACTAGCTCAAATTAATTCAACCTTCGCATTCCAATATTGGACGACTAAACTAGAGCATCTCTTGACTGCCTTTAGTTATGAATATTCCGCTCAACCGCTTCGCATCATCTTTAATAATGAGTACCTCTGCCCGAGACTGGAAATACTTGCCTCAGTCAAATTAAGTTCAGTTAGTCAGTAAGTCTTCTCGTATAACTACAATTTGCTCCATCTGAACAGCTTCGTTTTGCATCCAGCGTTGTCTCTAGTCAAGTGTATTAAATAAAGAATCCTTTAGAAGTTAAGAATAGACAGATTTTCCTTCCTGTCCAACGGTAAGTTAAACTGGCAAGATAATTATGAGAGTCGAAACGATGGACCGCGAAGCCATTCATCACTAAAAGAATCACTGCTATTACTAATAGCAATTTCACCAGATTTGTTACTTTTTGAATAAGTACTTGCTATACTACTAAAAAAAGTTATTAGATAGTGATGAGTGCCACATCTACACACACCGACACACAAAAAATGTTTGTCTTGTCTGTTGAATTCGAAACCCATCGCATAAAAAAAGGTTTCATACTTGACGAACTGTTTTGACTCTGTACTATAACAATCCACTATTCACAAGTTAACGTTCTGATTGACCTCAAAAGTCATGTCTATAATATTTCGAATTCCCCTTTTATCCTTCACAATAAATGCAAAATTTTAAACGAAGCTTAAATACATACATTAAATTAATAGGTAATAATAATAAAAGGTAGAAATGAGAACCCATCCTTTTGCGTATCCGACCAAGTACGAACAAATGATTTTACTTACACTCTAATATTATCATCGTCTGTCAGACGATGAAATCATATAAAAATTACTGCCACCAGCTCCCCAGCTATTAGTGCTAATAACACATTTTATTTGTTCAATATTTTTTATTGTACATCGCAACAAGTGAAGCCCTTGACTAATTTAAAACAGTAGTGTACACATCTGCACATTGTAAGCGCACATGACTATTGTGTTACCGTAAGGACGTATTCACATTGGCAAGATTTTTATTCTTAAGATAGTTAAAAAACAAATTGCTTTAAGAACCGAGGCTTAAAAAGATGAAAAGTAACATATACAAGTAAATAGTTGTAATTTGTTATATTTTAAGTAGGATGTTCTCAAACAAGTAGAATAACAGATTCATTCGTTGAATCATTGCTCTTCGTTTACTAGCAACAATTGTAAATCTTGATTTAATGAAAACTAGATTTAGTCCTTACAAGGATGACAAATGAAGATTTACGTTTTGACATTTTTATATTGGTTAAATCCAGAATTAATTAACTTGAGATTGAGCAAAATACAAGGGGAACTTAGATCCAGTAGAATATATTTCTCTGGGGTGACTTGATTTGAGACGAGGTGTTTTTATCTCGATATTTAATATCGAAGTATTTTTATCTTTTTTCCACAGCTTATTAATGTCTGACTTAGAGGTTAAATAACCAGTCTCTTACAATAGATAGATAGATAATCATTTAACATTAATAAAGTATTGCTAATTTTCCGAACTCATTGCTACCGCCTGAGATACTTTTACTTAGGGATGCCATCCGTCCGGGTTTCCCCGGATTTGTCCTAGTTTACGAGGCGTCCGGGGAGCGTCCGGGCGGGGTTTCGTTTGTAGTCCGGGTTTAAAAATTTCCTGTTTTGGGTCGCCAAATAATCCGTCAATTTATATGTCTTCGAAAATAAATAAATCTATTCTAACACTGTAACCATAAATGCTGACTTCCAACAAAGATCTGTTTTGTCGCCCACACTGTCCGCAATAACAGCATTCCTTGCTATGTGGATGACAGCACTTAAACTTTCTACACTGGCCGGTCAAACATCCCTCGGATGGAAGAAGAAGGGTGTAAAGACAGACTCAGACAGTGTCCGAGATTGTTGTTGATGTTACTGGATCAAGTCTCAAATTGGAGCCAACAAAATTTTATTGGATTAACCCAGCAAAGACACAAGTGTGTGTGAAAAAGCTTGTGTGTTCAATAGATCTAGTAAGTACATCAAGCCTAAATATCGGGTGTTACTTAACAAAGCACTGGTCCTCTGGGCTGGAGCACCCCAATACCAGCTCCTTCCTCTTGACCGGATACAAAAGCGGGCAGTTTGACATATCGATGCTCCTGAGCTCACTCACGCGTTGCAACCCCTTAGCATGCGCAGACGGTATAACACGTAAAAGAACGCAACTCCTTCTACGTGTTGTACCGTCTATACAATCAATGGAGAGTGTTCCGAGGAATTATTAAACCGGGTGCCAGTGGCCAAGTCACAGCACCACACACCGCAGAGAAGTTTCACGCCCACCATCTGGACGCCTGGCGTTCGAGCACCATGTGTTCCTTTTTTTTGCGTACCAGCAAGATCTAGAACGAACTTTCCTCAGTTTTTTTTTCTTATAGCTATGATATGGTAATCTTAAAAAGGCGGATGAACCTTTTCGTTCAAAGCCGGCAACGCATGAGTGGCCCTTGGTGCTGCAAGTGTCCATGGGCAGCAGTGACCACTTATTATGAGGTAGACCGCTAGCTCTTATGCCTACATCAACATGAAAAAAAGTTGATTTGTGACATTTTTAACTGTTTTTTTATTGGTCTGTCCGGGTTCTGGGCTCCAAAATCCGGGGTTATCACGCGTCTTATCCTGGTTGCCACATTTTAGAGATGGCAGACCTACTTTTACTGCACCTTAGCAGTATTTCTATATCGCTAAATTTCTTCCCTAAAATTAACAGTTAAGTTTAAGTAGTTACACGAGATGCGATGTAATAATATAAAAAATAATTTTATTTCTCAATATATGGGTTTAGTTTAATAGCTAACCCGCATGTGATTCTCTCTTGATTTCTGAAACATAAACTTACTATTAATGATTCTGTACTATTATTAGCTATAGTACAGATTAAATAGTAATAACCGTAGTATAGCATGCACATACCTTTAAGCATAATATATAAACTGAAGCCCAGGAAAAATATTACTGAATTCACTAAACATTCAATAAATCACACGAGAAAAGACAGCGTTAGTGTAAACGCTCCCTACGCCAATAGTCAGTACGTTTGTTTTGCCCGGGGGCGAGCTTTATTTTGCGTCCACAATGATCCATTTCACTTAGTAGTCTGGTTCAGTGAATTATGCCACTGTTTAAGAACACAATTGACTAATTTCCTATCCCAGGTATGTCTTAATTTCTGCGTTGGCTCAATTAATAAACAAAAAATAAGCTTGGATTAATTACTCTCGGTCTTACTACCACAATGTTAAACACAGTTTCAAACATAGTTTGTAAATCTTGTTTATGCACATTTTGTATGATGATTTTTCTTAGATGAATGATTGCATCGCAGGGAGACCAATCATTTATCTATGTTGTTATTCTTAAACTCGGGTGTTCTTAAATTTTCAGTGGATTTGTTTTAACGAAACTAGGTTTTTTTTGTTGAAATCACTCAAGATTTCACCATGAGCATTAATGAAAAAAACGGACAAGCGCAAGTCGGACTAGCCCATCGAAGCTTCCGTACAAAGTACGGTACGCAACATAAACGGCCGTATCTTTATTTTATGTTAACTTAGAAGTTTGATTTTTTCGCGGTTTAAAGGGACCGTAGACATGAGTATATGATTTAAATTTCAACTAGACATCTCCACGTGTTCCTAAGATAAAGGGTCTTGATAGACAGACAAATAAACGCCCGGAACTTTTTTGTACGTCAAGCAATAAATTTGATTTTTACAATTTTAAGGGACCGTAGACTGTAGACTCGAGTATTTGGTTTAAATTTTAACTCTATACCTCCACGCCTTCCCGATATAAAGGGTCTTGACAGACAGATGGACAACAAAGTGATCCTATATGGGCTCAGTTTTATATTTCTAGAAGTGGAAAGCTTAAAATCAAATTTTACCAGAAAAAAAAGCTGAAAGCTGATGTTCAAAAATACGTAAACCAACCATTAATATTCATCCAGCCACTTCACTCCTTCCGTAAACCGATCCTTAATTGTAAAACGCTTCACCAACAGAATTACCAGTTTTCGCTGAAATTAAAACAAGGGAGGGAGAGAAATCAAATAGAGCTGTGAGTTTTCTAATTTAAAAACAAAATCATGTCACTGTCTCTGTAACAAATCTCCTCCGAAACGGCTTGACCGATTCTTATGAAATTTTGTATTCTTTGTATAATTTAGTGGGTCTGAGATTTGGACGTAAACAACTTTTCATAGTCCTAAGGTTATATACAACAATTTTTATTTAAAAATTTTGGCCGCTTTTTAGGATTTTTATAATTAATAAACCCAAGTCTTTTTAATCTTCAGTCACCAACGTCTATATTTATGACGGTTATGACGGTACGAAGTACGTTGGTTTTTTTATATGGTTCGCTTCATTGAAAAGACAATACCTATTCCCTACTCACGCCACGTCATGTCATAAAACTTAAAAACGAGTTATTAGTTAGTTTTTAAAATTTCTTGTACTGGGTAGAAAACTCACGGAAAATAAGTTGCGCAAACGAAACTATAATAAGTATATTTAATCAACAAGGATTAAAAAGATTTTTCTACTGCATCAACTTCTTCACGACTGAATTTCGAACGGGTGCGCTGGGGTAATATATGCTGTGCTTTGCCAGCAAAAAAATTTACGAACACTGCCGCAAAGAATATTTACGTGAAATTATGGAAAAAAATGGACACGACAATATTTGACTTGTTACGACCTGATTGTACCCCACCAGGGGGCCATTCGCCTAACGGAAATGCTTTGGAAAAAGCTAACGCTTTCGATTTTATTTTGTTATTTCTGACCGCTGAAGGTTTTCAAATACCTCACGCTAATTTTTTTGTAATATTGTTATTACCAATGCAAAAGAAAAAAAAAGAGCGCGAGCCATTTGAAAACCTCAGGCGGCTAGAAATAACAAAATGAAATCGTAAGCGTTAGCGTTTTCCAAAGCATTTCCATTAGGCGAATGGCCCCTGGTTTTAATAATAATAATAATAATAATATTCTTTATTGACATACACCTCACAGGACATACAAGACATTAAACATGACAGTGAAAACGTACACAATAGGCGGCCTTATTGCTAAACAGCAATCTCTTCCAGGCAACCCATGACAGTGAAATAAATAAATAAGAGGAACAAGAAGGGGGGGAGGTGTAACAGGTATGGTAAAATAAATAATGAATAATAGATGTAATAGATATATACAAAGAGAGAGACAAGAGAGAGGTAAGACTTAAAGTTGGGAAAGGAAATAACCTCTAACTTGATCACTAAACGAGCTTAGAGTGCGAGCCTTTTAAATTAAGATGCAGCAATTTTCCAAAATTTCGATTAGATTTAACTTTTAGAAAAATGCCATGAGAATCCAGTCGCGAAGAAAGCGGATGAAGCAGCGATATACTGATAACTTTGAAATCGTCTTACCGAGTTTCCCCGAACTGGAATTTAATGATTTTTAGGCACATTCAGTTCATCTATCAAGTCGATTTTTTATTTTTCCTACAGAATGGTATCTAGAAAAAATTCCAAAGACCTATACTTAACACACGTCGGGTGTTCATCTGCTAGTGTTCCATAGAAGAAAGAAATTGTGTAATCACCGCGATCAATCATCTACATCTACAATATTAAAGAACCGAATACAACAAAACAGCACCACAGATATATTACCAGCAACAATGAGCAAGGGAAGTTTTGCAACAACTGTACCTTGTCTGCGGGTACCGTTTTAAAAAGAAGCGAGCGGACGCGATCTCGGTGATGTAAATAAAATAAAAATGTAAATGAACGCCTCTACCCGCCCTCATCCCGAACAACCCACCCCTAATACTTCTGTCCGGATGATGCTTTTACACCGAACGCCACAGGTTCCCAAACATGAAATTGGAAAAAATCTAACACACCAATTAACCTAATCCGATAGTACCTAAGATATGTAAGGACTACTAGGTTAAAGGATAGAAATAAATACTGCATGCACACCCATGACTTATATACAAATGCTCATAATCGTCATACCATTTGCCCCACAGGTATTCCATTCCAGGACCTCTAATCAGAAGACACCTTGAAAACCTGTGTACGCACTACTCTACCATAAAAAAACGACTGTTTTTGCAATATATTGTTGAATTGCAAAGTGCCTTCAAGCAATAGACCAACATATCCATATGTTAGTCTATTACTTGAAGGTGCTCAGTAGAAGGCTGCTGTAGCGTACTAGACCATAAATTTATACCTATACTTATAAGTATTTGGTATAATATGACTATATTAATTAACTTCACACCTGATAAGCGTTGAAGATCGGTCAAATAAGTAGCAACGCAACACACCGTGGCCACAACACCGTAGAAATCGAAGGTAGAAATCCACGACATCGTAGAACGCATGTTCTTTTACCGGCCGTTACGATTTTTTTTTGTAGTCTCAGTCTTCTTGGATCAATTTCTGGTGATATATCATCATCATAAAGCGCAAAAATCTAACAAAGGTACCTATCATTATATAGATTAAAAAGTAACATTTTTCAGATTTGGATTTAAAAGATTTACTGATGTAGGATTTTTAGGGATACTGTCCATCCTCTTGGCAATAAATGTTTCATATAAAAAATAGCAACAATGTGAAACTAAAGTTTGAGATGCGCCGCTTGTTCCCACTCGTAATAAGCGCATTAAGGGTGGAAAAATTTAAACTCACCCCGAAACTTTTCGCGTTTTCTTTTTGCATTAAGAACAAAAAGAAAAGAAAAAAAAACGACGCCTACTTAGAAGGGTGGCCAAACTTTTAATATCCTTCAGATGAAGTGAACGTCTCAACAAAAAAATAATACCTACTCTTATTGCTATGCTTCTAAGGTTGACATTTCTAGAATATAAAAAATACAGAAAAAAGACGTGGGTGTTGGTATTATAATATAAACTGGTTGTGTATGTGTCGCTTAGCGAATTCAAAAGTGATGGGTACTCTGGGGAGAATTTGAGTTTGTTTTCTGGGTATTTACCACTTATTCCTACACTAGCGGCCGCCAGCGACTTTGTCTCAGCGCGTTAATAATTAACTTTAGTTTTTTAAGAATGCCACATCAGGAACCTAATAGGATCGCACATTTTTGCAAAGATGTGCGATCTGTAAGTAAGGCTTTCCTGCACTCAAAAAAGTCACGGTCTCTAAAAGATGGATTCGTGTGCAGAGTAACATGACTGGACACCCTTTCAGCGAGGTGAAACTAGCATTTCATGCAATAACAATGCAAGTATATTAGCCAAACAAATTTAAAATTGGTACTATAATATAACTAATGGATTGGAATAGATTTATATCTTTATTCTGCGTAAACAATTTAAAATGCACTACTATAGCCACCTCGTTCTCGTTTCATGCTTAATAAACAATACTAGGTTATTATGGGAATAAGTTACACGTATGATTTTTCAGGTGTTTTATTAAACTTAAAAGGTTTTTTTTACTTAATTTTAGATATTTTACTTATATTATAAAATACTAATTTCACAGCATCTTAGTTCAGTACCTACTACTGAACACACATCACTATTTATCTTAATCTATAAAAGATATCTAGTAATTAAAATAAATGCTTAGGGCATTGTAAATACGTTAATATCTATCTATCTAATTAGTATTATACTATCTTCTCAGTCAAATACATAGGTAATTTATTAACAAATAAAACAGAACATGCATGTCGTAAGTTTTGTTTGCAAAGGACAATGTTAAATTTGGCCTAAGAACCAACACCAATTTGGCATTTATGATAATTCTTAGTATATTTTTTGCGATAATTATCCGTATTTAGATTGGGACGGACACTTCCAGTTAAGTAAGCTATATTAAAAAGTTAAAAAATAATTTGAGACTACCATTTTATGTTTATAATCTATGACAGCGCTGCAAACAAAACACTCTTTCTTCCTACTGCCGGCACTTCACTTGGCTATACGTGTTTGCTTTTTGAAAACGACATCAGTCTGTCATCATACTGCCAAATTATTCAAGAGCAGCTGATGATACACATTCACGCTGCATATTTACACAATATACATGTAATATACAAAAATAAATACAATATGATACAATTATGTGAAATGTAGTCAAAAAAATAAGAAGCAACACTACAGTTTTTATTTTATTCATGATTCCTACATAACCAATTTTTTCCTAATAGTTATTCTTTAAAATCGCACCGAATAAAAATGAATTAGTTGTAATATTAATTCAATTCATACTGAGTTCATATTAAGTTCATAGGTTGACCTATGTATCATTTAATATTAAACATAACCTCAAAAAATATTAGTTTTCCTGATAATTTAAGTTCTCAGAAGTGTCCGTTAATAATCTTTGTTTTTACAGTAATTTACTTGCAATTTCGAACCTAGAATATAATATTTCATGATTGTTGGTTCTTAGGCTAACAATGTATAGACGCAGAACAATGTCCTTTCCCAGCCCATAGACTTATTTTAAAGACAGTAGTTGAGACAATTTTTCTCCTAAATCTGCTACATCCTCTTGCAGTTCACCATTCTCGTTTAATATCTTCTAAAAAGAAAAAGTGAAATCAGTTCTTTACGTAGTTTTAAGTAGGTAAGTACTTAGTTCTACACATCAAGGCCAAAAGTGTCTAGGTATCACAATTTTTTTTGCTTTAAAAATATCTAATGTACATTTTCCAAATCCTGCCTATTCCTGTAATTCTAATGTATTAGTTTACAAGGTAAAGGGTAAAATCCCTTCATTTCGCAAAAATAACTAGAATAATACCACAGATGACCTAATAATTTTATTACCTACTATGAAAATACTGCAAAATACAGTCTCTGCAAGTTGTGGGATATCAACGGCGCAGCGGTGTTAAACTCACCCATCTGGTCCAGTTGTGAATTGAAACGATCAAGGGAAATACTTAATCGAATGCACACATAAAGTTACATTGAAATCGGTCCAGTAGTTTAGGAATTCAATGAATTACATATATCGTAAGATGATATGATAACTCGATTTTTTGCAAAATTCCTAAGGAGAACGCGAATAATTAAACAGGGGTGCGATGAAATTGCGTTTTTTTTCTAGCCATGGTCACAACACAATACCAACCTAATTAACCCAATGTGAACCCAAGAACCTAAGCAGGGGCCCACGATGCTTAATGGGGATTTACTCGAGCGTCGTTGGGCCCTATTGGATTGTGAATATTACATGCTAAAAAGAATAAAAGTTTATATAATGTACACCTTTTCAATGACGGGGCGCGTGTACAGGTTTTTAAAAAGGTTTAAAAACCGTCGAACGTGTCAGATATTAATAGTGTGATCGCCCATCAATTAAGCGGTTATATTTGGCAACTTTGTGACCTTCCCATTTCCTAATGTCACGCTCAAATTGTCAGATTATTTAAATGCACACTTTTTGCATGTAATTAACTTACCTTACTTTAATCTGACGCGCTCGAGTTTCTCCAATGATCGATTTTTTTTTTTACTAATCTGATCGGCTGCCCTAGAGGTTCGACACTAAGTAGTGTGGTGCAAAGTAGCCCCCCTTCTATTAAACTGCCGCGCTCGAGTAAATCTCAAAATCCCCACTTGGGCTCCCCTACTATAAGATTGAGAATATCATGGAATTATCGCAAAAATCTTAGGGACTTTGCGTAAATTCGTTTTATCAAATCATCCTTCGATATAAAGATATCAACTAAAATTAAACGATTTAACTATAAAAGCGATATCTATATTTATCGAGGTATAACAAGAACGACAAAAACTCTCGACGATATTAATTCGATTAACACATTTCTTTCATTAAAATCTGTTTATCAGTAGTAGTCCAGTCATTACGTCGGAAAAATCGGGAAATAAATGAAAATGAACCGAGAAAGCCAAATTTTGGATATTACGTGGGGGATGGCAAGAAAAGCTTAAGTTCAAATTGTCGACCAAAATAACCTTGTACAATTTCCGCCATCTTGAAAAAACCCTTAAATTCAGTTTATTCATCATAACTCGGTTCCCCGTTGAGATACGAAAATTTTTATAGAATACTTTTTTGTTGCTCTTCTTGCGATCTACAATTAAGGTCCCATGCATTTTTCACGTATCGATCGTCGTTTTCGAGATATCGATCAAAAATATCAAAAATTTAGGGAGAATTTTTTTTTTCGCTATTTACTTTTTTCTGGTGAAAGATATCGAAAAATGTTTGAAATAAAACTTGTAGAGCGTGTCCAGACCTACAAATTCTTTTTTTTATTTGTTCATTTCTGACAAAAATTACGACCTCCAGCGCGCCACAAAGTCGGCCCCAGCGCGCCCGACGCGTCTAAAAAAAAATAATTATTTCATTATTATTAATTATTTTATTATTAAAATAGTAAAAAAATAAATTTTTTTCGTCTAAATTATTTCATCAATAAATTTCATGTATTTGATTTCTAATTTGGCTGGTTTATGATTTTTTTTTGTATTGCAATAATTCCCTGAACCATTTTCCATCCATTTTGACGTGTGGATACAACCGAGCGAGCGGCTAAATGAAAACCGGGCACAGTTTCACTGACTTTGTGGCGCGCTAGAGGTCGTAATTTTTGTCGGAAATGAAAAATAAAAAAAAGAATTTGTAGGTCTTGACACGCTCTACAAGTTTTATTTTAAACATTTTTCGATATCTTTCACCAGAAAAAGTAAATAGCGAAAAAAAAAATTCTCCCCAAATTTTTGATATTTTTGATCGATATCTCGAAAACGACGATCGATAGGTACGTGAAAAATGCATGGGACCTTAACTGTAGATCGCGAGAAGAGCAACAAAAAAGTATTCTATAAAAAATTTCGTATCTCAACGGGAAATCGAGTTATGATGAAAAAACTGAATTTAAGGGTTTTTTCAAGATGGCGGAAATTGCACAAGGTTATTTTAGTCGACAATTTGAACTTAAGCTTTTCTAGCCACCCCCCACGTGATATCCAAAATTTGGCTTTCTCGGTTCATTTTCACTTTTAAATGTATATAATGACTGGACTATAGGTACTTAATTTAACGGCTAAAGAGGATCATAAAAACAGACTTTCTAATCGTAATATAGTTGCCGTAGTCAGGTATAAAAATAAATAGGTATATAAAAGTGCGTGCTTTATAAAAAGAAAACGTTATACCACAACGATGCATAAGTTTGTACTACAAAATGACTACAATTTTATTTTATTAAGTGTTAAATAATCACTACTCCCTTAAAAACAGAGGGCTCACTAACTGATTTTCTTTATTTGCAATCACTGAGCACTAAATTTTTTGTACTTAGCCCTACAAATTAACTTCTAAATATTACCATTCATTAAAATTATTTAAATTGTTCTGATACAGTAATATGGTAAGTGAGACGTTTCATCTGAAAGCCCACATTCCGTGAGTTGTAGAGTTTGACTTACAACAACTACATATTTGTCCTTCTGGCTACAATTGTTTTAGAGGTCCTGCTAAATCTTCATGTATACGAAACCTAAGTTTTACACAGTGACCTCTCTAAGAGCACGCACATAAAATAAATCTAAGAAAACCAAGAATTATGACAGGTACACAGACAGGGTCAGTTACAGACTCAAAACTTAGGTTGGTTAGTACTTTGAGAACTCGCACTGTTTGCATGAAGTTAGAAGTCATGACGTAAGCACTTTACGAACTCCAAATCAATTTACACTTTGCCAGTATCGATTTAGCACTAACTTAACTCGAATTTGAAGTCGTAACTTTTCGCGTGTAAATCTGCCAGTAGCCGCTGTCCCTGAAAACTACTTACCTCCATTGCCGATGTGACACCGGTAGTGTCCAATGTCTGCTGCTGCTCCCGCTTTTGAGATAAATACTCTTGTATTTTGTAAATTGTGACAGCTAACATGTGATAGTATTGCGAACGCGAATCCGCCGCTAAATAGTATGCATTTTCGATCTCCATTAACTTATTCACAATTGGAACTGGTACATCGTCAACATTGAAAACGGCGTCAGATGATTTTGCCGTTATAGATCGTAATCTGAAAAAGAAAACTATATAAATATTGACGACCTCCGTGCCTAAGTGGTTGCACGCCGGATTTCATGGTGTCGCCTTCTCACAAGTCCCGGGTAGGTACCGGGTATGAATGCCGGTGGGACAAATATTAGTATGATGAATGCGAGCATTTGTATCAAAATCGGAGATGTTAATATTGGTGTCGATTCTGGCATGGTTCTCTAAACCTAAACTTAAATTTGACATTCGTGTATCCTTGTACAGAGCATTCTCTGTACAAGGATATGATAGAATGCTCTGTACATAACGAAGAGGAGAGACTGCTGTTAAATTTAGTTTTAAGTTTAGAGAATCATGCCAGAATTGACACCATTATCTAGATAAATATACATGTCAGTATGAACATACATATATGTATTTTGACCGTTACCCAGTATCCCATAATACAAACCTTAGAATGGTTACTTTGAGGCTGGGCTAATTAACGTTAATGTTAAAAATATTTATTTATTTTTCATTTTTCTTTATTTGTCTGCTTTTAATTTACAGACGCATGGTTACACAATTTCACAATATCTAAAGCTTACTCCGTTTTGTGTTGACGTCCTTGCTACGTAGACCTCTCGACATTCTCACAGCTGGAGGAACACATCACTACTACAAATATAATTATTTGACTAAGAATCGTTTAAGGCGAAGGATACTTCCCCAGATAGACGCTCCACTTCAACACTAAAATACACACGTTACGCACTAAATAAAATAGGTACCTAGTACTCTTGCAGTTATTTGTAATGTCAGATTACTTATATAAATATCTCGATGGCGCAATTAGTAAGCGAGTTTGACTGCTGTCGTTAAAGTTAAGCATCTTTCGCAATCGGTCATTGGATAGGTGAACAAAAATTTACTATCTCGAGTTCCTCCATTTTTCGGAAGGTACGTTAAACCGTAGTTCCCGGCTGCATCTGTATTCATAAGCACCACCAATCCCCCATTATGTCAGTAGTAGCTTTTTATCCATAGTACCATTAATGAAAAATAACGATATTCCCTACAGTGAACAAAGGATTCCCTGTAATTGGAATAGATAATAAAAGAAAACAAAGAAAGTCAAGTCTCATGACACCATAGATGTTTTTGTATTGTCCTTGGAGTCAAAACTAAGATTGTCACACCTTTAAATGAGAAAAAGGAAACGAAATATCTATGCCTAAATAAAAAAAGAGAAATAGAACATATCTACACAACTAACGGCGTAATTTTACTAAATATAATGGCACTTTAATTTCACCATTAATGAGCTGTATTTGAACATGCTGTTTAAAACGTCGAACCAAAGTTTCACTAGTATCATTGTTGGAACTAACAATACAACAATATTCATGTAGCGATACACAAATATTCATAGTTGGTACAATTTATCCTAAATCAGTGTCACTAGTAACATTAATTGTACTAAGGATACAAAGTTATATCACTTGTACCATTAATGGTACTAGTCAGTGGTACTACTGACATAAAGGGACCAATCCGCACTGGGCTTGCATGATGGGCCACAGCCCAATCTTATTCCATCCATAAGGAAGGCCTGTGCCCCTGTATTGGGGGCATAATTTGGCTGATGATGATGACTTTACGGAGTGGAGCTCGATGGCGCAGTCGAAAGCATCTTAGTGGAAGTTAAACAACTGAGGCAATGGCCGCAGTCTTATTAGGAAATCGTCACCATATTATCTCGAGCTCCTGGCAGTCGTTAGCACCCAACAATCCACTAGAACCCGCATGATATGTTGTAGCCTCACTCTCACTATTCCATGCATATGAAAAGTCTGTGTCCGTGCCCCTGCAGTGGGGACATTAATAGGCTGATAATGATGATGACTGCACATTTTCTCTACTATGAACAGAACCTAAGCCTTTCAATAATAGCGATGCTCGTCGTGCCAGTGGGATATTTCTTGATTAATTTATATTCTTTCGATTTATTTTCTACTTACAACTTATTTACTAAATGGTCCCTTAAGCCGTCTGTAACTGTGTTATGCCATTCTTTTAACACAACAGCTGTCATCTGTGGAAAAATAAAATAGCTGAGTGTCAGAAATGTGAATATACTAAGATCCGTATTTATAGGTAAACCGCATAACTGAGTCTTCGCCTGCGGGGTACTGAGTGTGGGGGAAGACGAGAATGGAGACCGTGAGAGGTGCGGGCGACACGGGCGCTTGTATTTTAAAGAAGAATGTGCCCGCCGCCCGCACCTTTCACGGTCCCCGTTTTCGTCCTCCCCCACACCCTTTACCCCACAGGCAAGGACCCAGTTAAGCGGTCTACCGTAGTTAAATGGCCACTGTGATATGAAGCTATGCCATGACGCAAATACGCACCTACTAGTGCGGTAGAAAACTAACACCCGTATTCACAAACAATACTTGTTTAAGTAAAGTAGCAACACTGTGCGAAGCAAGACATTTCTCAGTGCGTTTTACTTGGCAAGCCTTTCAATTCATAAACAATACCTCAAATGATTCTTCGCTATGAGACCGCACAGCGTTGAATAGAGCTCTGTGATTTATGTTACGTAGTTCACACCGCTCTGAATGACATGTCTATCATTTGTCAATTGTCATAATAGGCTAGTTTACTCATGTCGAATTGTATTAAATAAATGTTTATTTCTCAAAGTAGTTAGTCTAAGGAACCTTAATATATCGATTTCCTTAATAAAGACAGAAGATTACTGTAGAAATTTAATTTTAATAAATATTTTTTAGTCTATATTTTTTAAACACTAAAAACGCTGTTCGCCACATCCGCCATGATTTTGACGTCTCTTGTGGTAAACAAACAACTAAATGTCATTCGCGTGTTACTGTGGGTGGATTCTTTCGTCTGACTAAATTTATCTTAAAACACTTTAGAAAAGTTTCCGTTTACTGTTTTTTTTTTGTCAAACTAATTATAGGTGCCGGCTTTGTGAAAGCAGAAAGCACAAATCTGCCAAGAATTGACGCATTGATGGTTGGTGACTTTTTTGCATTAAACTCCGAATTCTACTCTTCGGAGCAGAGAAACGACAAGGCATCTATGTAAGTACAGTGCATTTAGTATTAATGTAGTAATAAACATAAAACTGATACAACATATGAATAAGTGTAATAAAGTTGCGTAGGTTAAGTTCTTTCGGCACTTTAATCCACAACTTTCTTGGAGTCTTCAAGGATGTGTTTTTATATTCTCGTACAATACAGTAATGATAATTACTTTATTTTTTGGTGGTATTTATTAGAAATCATGTTTTTTTTATTATAAACTCAGTTAAAAGTAATTTTCTACGTGTTTACGAGTTTTTGTTTACCACAGTTCACATCATAGCATAGATAATCTATAGACTAAAATGGCCGACAGCGTTTTTGTATGTCCATGAAAAGTCTATTTTAAAATTAAAGATTTGTAGCTTTCTAGGTTTAAAAAAATTACAATACATTTTTTTTCGGTCTAATAAAACATTTATTAACCATTTAAAACCTTTTTCCAAAAAGGGTCAACTAGCCTATTCATATCCTTTTGAAAACCAAACAGTGCTTGAGAGCTATTTTGCAATTATAATTTTTCATTATAATTTTCCTCTGAGATATTTTCTGGCTGCGCCACCGGTGTCAACAAATATGTTTGACAGCGGTATCCACTATCTCCCAAAAGTATGCCCTCTATAACACCCTGTTCCATTTTTCTCTTCAAACTGCTTGCTTGGAATATTCTATTGTCGTGTACAGAACCAGGTCTATCAGCAACAATGACATAAATCTGTAGATCAGGTCCACACACAATCTGAGTATTGTTAGAAAAAAAAAACGATTCCTGAAGACTTCTGCATAAGGTCTGCCAGGGTTTTGAATTGGGATGTGTGTATCATCAATAGATCCTACTATTCCAGGAAAACGGGCTATTATATAAAAGTCTTCTTTAATTCTTTCGAAATTGTTTGGAAATTTAACAAATTGGCATATTTTGAGACAAAGCAGATGAGACACCCTTTTCACTATTCTTGAGGCTGTTGATTGACTCACGTTTATAAGGTCTCCAGTAATCATCTGAACACTACCAGCCGAATAAAATCTTATGGCCACTAGCAACTGATACATAGTGTAATATTAAAAAATAATAAATTTTGAAATGGACAGGCCGAAATCAATTAAAAAAGAATATTCAGGCGCCTGGACTGTACCATCATTATTAGCCGGGAGAACATTTGAATATTAATCGCAAAGGGGGCTTAATGCAAATCCATATTTATTTTGGGTTGTCTATATATTGAAATTTTAAGTCCAAAATTACTTAAGTCCAAAAGGGTTAAATCTAAATTTAGAAACTATTATATACTGTGATGCTACTAAGAATTAAATGAAAATTACCTTATTATTAGAATGTTACCGACCTCGCTGCATCTGATCTGGGTAGTATATGTCTGGTGTTGTAAATATGTAGGGGATGGCCGTTTTTAGATCCCGTGGGTTCACCTCCACCTCATGGGAAATGTCGTAATTTGAACAAAATATCCAAATGAAAAATCCAAATAAAAAAAAAACGCTTTTCGCTGAAAACAAACATTCCTCAGATTAGCACATGGCTCACAACAAAGGAAAAAAATGTAAATCTAAGGAAATCACTAAGGTTCTTACCGTTTTACTAACAAATTAAGCTTGAGGTATGGCCATCGCCATTTTGTACGAATGATGCAAAATGTTTCATCTGAAAACAAAATTAATCCTCATGTAAATCATTGAAATATATGAATTAAAACACTTTTAGAATTTGGAAAAACACTTACCATTAAAAACAATCAATAATATAAGGGATTATCAATTAAAAAAATTGGAATACGAAATGACCATCCTTTGGTCTAAAAATTACGTCGTGAAGTGAAGTGACAGTTTTTTTTCTTAAGTTTGTTTTCTCTTGCCGGTAGGCAAAGAGAACAACGTCCATTCAGCCTACTGCTTGATAAAGTTAGCAACATAATTATTCAAAAGTGCACAGATTACAGAAAATGGGCGCGAGATAAAAACGACCAGAGAGACAACCAAAAAAAATCTTCTATCTCGCTCTTCGAGCGAAGGAGATCCATGTGACGTTTTTAACACGTTACATTTCACCCTTCCCCGAATAAAGCATCGAGAATCGAGGCTGAAGAAACTACAGCTAAAGTTCAATTACTAAAAGCCAAAACGAAATCCGTTGAATTATGGATGAAAACGAAAACCCAAAGTGAAAAGAAAATAACTTCAAATAAAGTTATCCAAATACCAAAACATCATCTAACTATAGAGTCCTTGGACAAAAAGTCACAAGTCTCAAAACAAAAGCTGTTAAACTAAATTAGTCACAGACCCAAAATTATTAAAAACCTAAAGCAAAATGCTCCAAAATAAAAGCATGCAAAACTTACTACAAAAAATTCAACCACTATCATCATCATTATTGAGATCTGTCAGACATAAAAGTCGCAGACTCTAAAAAATCTCTAATTCAAACTACTCTAACTAAACACTGGAGAGATCTGTTGGACATCTAAGTCGCAGACTCTAAATTTTCCTAAACTAAAACTCCTTCAAAACCTAAACGCCTGTGAGATCTGTTGGATATTAAAATCGCAGACTCCTAAAATTTCTTAAACTACTACTCTACTACTCTTAACATTAATTTCTGAAGGTCTGTTGGACAACTAGGTCACAGACAGAAAACTACAATCTACACCTACTACCAACTCTTGGGAGATCTGTTAGACAACTATGTCGCAGACTCTAGAAAAATCCCTCCCCAGTACTGCCATACTAAAAAATTGCAAGTAATAGTACTTGTTAAATCCCCAAAAAAGTTCGAGTTTAGTGGCAAAATTGACACTAACTCATTTAAGTCACAATCATGGTCGGCACAACACCACCGGCTTTCCGAACATGATGTGCAAAAGGCGTCGAGAACAAACAGTTTGACAAAAAAAATGTAGTGACGAAAGTCAAAACAGCAAAAAAAATTTGGCGAAAACCAAAACGTGACATTCATTGCCGACTCAACACCAACAGCTTTCCGGACATGAAGCACCCAAAACAAAAGTTGTAACTACATGATCGGCACAACCCCACCGAACTCCCGAGCATGAAGCACAAAAACAAACAATTGATGTCCATAAATATGGCCAAACAAAATACCAAAACAATATGGCAAAACCAAAAAAGCGTCAACAATGTTGAGCAAAAAGTCGAAATTGCAACTTCATGATCGGCACAACCCCACCGAACTTCCGAACATGATGTGCAAAAACAAAACAATTGATGTCCAGAAATATGGACAAACAAATTACCAAAACAAAGTGGTAAACCAAACAAATCGTCGAAAATCCAAGGGAAAAGTGGAAGCTCCAAAATGTCAAATCCGGGTGTAACAAATATCACACACACTAACCTCTACACAAAACAAATTGTTATAAAACAACAAACATGATTTCTGATTTCGACATATTTAAAGGTTCTAAAGCCTCAACCAGAAAATGTTTAAATTCTATATTCTCTGATTAGGTTTTTAGTTTTAACTTTCACTTATTTTTTTTAGTTAGAGTTTAACCTATATGTGCTATATTTATCCTTTAGTATATATCCTTAGTAGTTAGGTAGTTTTAGAAATGCATGTTGTGCTTGCATCTAGTAGGTTGCAAAGTAGTTGATGTTTTTTTTTGTATGCATATATTTATATGGATATTCTTTGTAACCAGTTTTGTAAGCCAAATAAAAAAAAAAAACATGCAGAAACACCACAAAACTATAGTACTAACAAATAAGTTTGTACAAAAATAACAAATAAGGACATATAAAATCCTAATAACAAATGTGTCCATACAGATAAAAGATCTGCACGAAACAAAAGGTTATAAAATCTTATGATGCAGAAAACAAGTAGGCATACTACGTAAATTTAAATTTTACTGAAAATTTTCAAAGTCAAATAATATAATGGCAAAACTTAAATTTAAAAAAAAAACCAAAAAGTTATTGAGTAAAGTCTAATGTATTCGAG